ACAGTTAGTGACCTGATGCTACGAGACTTTATCGGTGGATGATGCGATAATGAACATGCCTTTGCTGATCATACTTGATTAGCAATAAAAATTATCATCGCCCTGTTACTAGCAATTTAAGCAATGAACATAATGACGAACGAAATTATCGAAATTGCTCGATATACTGTGCGATCTTCGACAATCTCGAAATGTTAGAGATCAAACGACCATCTGAGACGGATGAGCTCTATTTCAATAATAATTCACAATAAATCTTAATATAAACATTAATAGGTCTTTGTTACACCTATAGTTTTGAAGATCAGATAAATGTCAATAAGTTGATCAAAGTGCCCACTAGAATTTCTGATAGCTTCAATGCTACCTTCATCGTATACAATATACATATATTCTAATAAAGGCAAAGGATGTTCATGCACTAGAGATTTAATTTGTAATCATACTACTTCGCATATCAAGCATATCATCTAGCCATGCAGCATTCAAGATCGCGTTATGTACAGATTTGTAATAGTAAGGATGCCCACGTAATTACCGTGTATTTGATTCAAGTTACTGCTGAAATCCTTCGGTGAGCTAATGCGGTCATTTGTGGGAAACTGTCTTGACGTTCCGTATTCTTCCGCGTCACTCGTCTATCAATCCAGCTCTTCCGCTATTACAACAAAAACGAATTAGATTTTGGCTTTTCATGTCGTCAAACGTTCGCGACAAACTACGTCCGATTGCTTTGGGGCGCTTTGAGTGTAATGCAGAGACACTGATATCCTATCTGTAACAAATTTCACGGATTTCAACTGTTTTATCTTGTGATTTCAATCGATATATAAGTAAACGACATCAAACTCTTCATGTCAGTGTCATCCTAGGAACATGATGGGAGAGGTTCGATAAACCTTTACACGATAATTATACAGCCTGATCCTCTCGCGTATGGCGTTAAATGCGTCGTGGATTTGTACACAGATGTGTCAATAGTCTTTACTGATTCGATCACACAAACTCTGTAGCTTACAAATTAGTATAAGCATCCTCGGATCTTTTGCTATTCGAACGCGATAGGCTACTTTTGCTTGTATGTGTATTTAAAGTGACCAGATTTAGGCATAACGAATTGTGTTCTGTGTTAATAATTATGAGGCGAAAAACTTGATTGTAAATAGAACTTAGTATCAAATAACTTTGATTAATTTCTGATATAGTATATTAATCATTTCGAAAAGCATACGAGCCTAATATTATTTATATTCATTTGTACGTGGTGAAAATGGATCCGAAGTCAAATAGTGGTTCTGAAAGCGCCATGAAATTATTAGCAAATGCAGAGATAATGCAGGTAGAGAAGAAGTAGGATCAAAGCATTCGCGCACATCGCATTCACTACGTACTGACCAAGTCGAAAGTCATCAAAATACCTCCTATATGCGAATCTAAACATTCAGTCACTCGTTTGTATTACGCCGTCGTATATCAAAGTTTTGCCAAAATGGCTACATGCGGTACGTGGGCATTACAAAGCTATAAGGTATAGCAAATCGTCATCTGTCAAATAAATTGAATGGGGATCTATTTACAGCCCACATACATAATCTTGTTGCTTTACGATCGTCTATTTCAGAAATTATATTAATGAAACGTAGCTTGTGCGTATGATGTTTTTATCTCGCCCATCGCTTTAATGAAGGGACATTAGACTTTCCGGCTACGACAGTGGTATAAAACTATCGGATCGAGAAGCAATATCGAGATCGGTTTAGGTAAGAGGTCAAAAACGAAATAATTTCGAATGCATCATCTAAATCCATGGATGTTTGTTGTCCACATATTGACTCCAGAAGGCTTCATTTGTTTACGGACGTACTTTATACGCATAGTTTGTACAGAAGATGAAGTGTCTACCTTATTAGATGGACGTTGATATCACCAGTATATGGCTCATGACAAGGAACTCCTTGCTATACAAATTAGGGTTCTTTAGAGATGGTATCAGCTGACGCTATTGATAAGAAACGACAAGCTAAGAGCTGTTTGCGTCACATTCCATTAACAAGCAGCAGTGACCAAGATCTCTCGTATAGTTATCAAATAAAAAATGTGTCTAAATTAGCAATCGACACAACGTGGATTCCTTCGAGATTCTATTGATGGCCCAGATGGTTATACATTTGGTGGTAGAGGAACACATATAACAAATTGATTGCGTTAATGAGAGTGACGAACGGTTTAGTCGACGTAATTGGCGGTACTTGTGCAACTACGCTCCAAGTTTGAGTCCATTATAATCCCTTGAAAATATCACAGATGATGTAGTCGAGGATCGCCTTTTTACCTATTGGAATCAGAGAGTTCTTCAAAAATGTACACGAAGCATCCGAGAAGTGATACTTTGTTAGGATCATGTATACACTTGCTGAGGTCAGCGTACAACTTAGGCAGAGCATTGGTCTTATTTCTCCTGGAGGTATAACATATTTGAAACATCTCGTCTTATGTTATATAAATATTAAAAATGATAGGACACGTTGTCACAGTAAATCGATGACAAAACATGGGCAAAACAATGCTCTAAATGTGGTATACCATTGTTTTATTGAGTAGTAGCATACATAACACATTGTGACGATACCAGCTTAACTTATTTTCGAATTAATAGGCTGATCATTCTGTCTACAAAGTGCACATTAGCGCGATATAATCTGCAACATACCGGCTTAAACATGTGTCAAAGTCGAACCTTACCAACCCAAAATGACCCAATCGCATTCGTGACCTAAATTAATAAATCAGGACTTAAAGACACAATATTTGGCAGCGGCAGCCAAATTGTGCATGCTGTATGTCATTTATATCGCATTCACCGCGGGTACAAGCTTCTACTACATCATTCATTTCAAAACTTGATACTAAGTAACTAGTGATCTTCCCCTGCGTTGCTTTTCGAGATGATAATTCGTAAGAGTTTGGGCCGACGCACGCACGTCTACTATGCAATACATTAATACAGTCGCTACGATATAGTTTATTGGGAAGGTGGAGCATATTTATTGCCGATAGCGCCGCTTTTTGGCAGCCTTAATTATGGTGTAAAGTAGACCATATATTATTTCATTGATATCGGTTTTACTTACACAAATTTTCGAGCGCATGATGTTCCTCTTCTGTCGTTAGGGGAACGATTTGGGCAATAACAATGCCACACCCCTTGCAATACCTATTTTAACGTCATTATTATCGAGCTGATTGATGAAAGAGCTGCAAGCATCGTGAAGTAGCTACCCAAGAAGCCATGATATTAAAATCGAGATGGTTAGATGGTCCACGACGTGCTTGAATGTGCTATGTAACACCTTGCTCTTGCTGTGATGACTTGCAATTGGTTTCACTGATTCAACTTATAACAATGCTTTTAAAATTAGGCGTGAATGGTTGGATATAGAACTTCCGGTAGCGGAACGATGCAAATTCTGTCATTAAAAACAAGTGCTGTAAATAAGGTAATGAAGCTTTCAGATATGATTTATACATATAATCCCGCATGAGTGTATATTTTTAAATTTTAACCTTTATACAAATTATTTTATAGACTGTTAGACTAAGCAATGACGAAAGTATGATGGCGCAACAAATTGACAATATGAATAATAATAAGTAAAAACGAAATATATATATCAAATATGACATGCATCATTTGATTATAATGTGAAAAATACGATCCTTTGATATATTTAATTATCAAAAAAATGCGCTTAATGATTAAAATGAACACTAAACTATATTCCTTAAGAATTTATCTTTTTTTTTGACCAACTAAAGTGTAAAAACAATTAAACACGAGAAGATATAGAGGAAAAACAGAGCGTAATAAAATAAATCAATGTGGAAATGCATTTTAAAGCATTTTGGACGTCATACGATACACGGTTTTTAAAGACCATCCTCATTTTATGTGGATGCTAAATTGAATTTGGACGGATAACCGTGACAACCATAGTATATCGGTGGTGTCAAAGTGGTCACATATATCCATGATTAATACATTTACATAATGTAAGTCGTTAATACACCAGTCTCTTAGAAACAGGGTACACGATCTCGGTGACGAGAGCGCCACGACTTTGCATAACTAAGGTCGAGCTACTGTTTATTTTCGTAGCATTAAGAAGTGTCAGTCTAGGTAAATTGTGCTCCATGCTTGATGTGGACCGCGAAGACCGGGATATCTACACTTGTGTGCCTGATGTACTCCATTGCTGATCACAACATCGCAACCTATATGCAGCTTCCATACAGCAACTGCTCTATCAAGACCAATATTACTCCAGCTATCAGCGGCTTCCTGAATTGTTGAAACCATGGCCTTCTATCGAATTAATCGTTCTAACGGCTTGTCTTCCGCTTTGCGTGTCCGCAAGCATCCGCATGACCATTAGCAATACCTCAAAAAGTATACCAGCTCTTTATGTCCAGCGCTACCGCCCAGACGACAGCTACGCGTTACTGTAGTGTCAAGAGATCGTAGTAAAGAGGCAAAACGGCGCGGCACACATGATTGATAGCCAAGACTGCTGAGCTATGCTTGTAGCGTCAACGCACCTCTTCCATCTTGCGAGTGCCTGTCAACGGTAAAACTAGATTAGGTTGTTGATCGATACAACCTGAGAGGAAATGAAGAAGCGGTGCCTGTGGAAATATGCATTCGACGAATGAAGCATGTGTGCGTTCGTGCGTACAGCATACATCATGGGTGCATTTGATACCGTTCATAAGATGGTCAGGCGTCTTTCGGATGACTGTCTGATCCGTCATTTCTATCGACTCCTCTGGGCGTGCGTTCTCTTCGCTGCATTTTACATTTTCTCCCCCTACGTACTCATTTATGTGCTGAAGACGTCTTTCGTGTCCATCAATGTCAGTCTCGACCCTGAGCCGTCGCAGCTGCACAAACTCTCTCTCTCTCTCTCTGACCAACCACTTCCTCGATCGCCCGCACCCTCACAATGGAGCTCAAGGACCTGGCGCCGCGGCTGCTCTCGAAAGAGCGGGCGAACGGGGACATCGACCCGGACGTACTGACGAACGTCCTGCGCGATGGGAAAGCAGCGAACGACCGTCGGAAGCAGCTCGTGCAGGTGATTGCGCGTCATCCCGTCCTCTCGGACCGCGATATGATGTTCCGGAGCCACACGGAGCGCTACGCGTTTGGCCTGAAGAAGGCGTTTCACTATGTCAAACTACTTGAAGAAGGCGGCTACACCGATGCACACGACCGGTGGATCTTGTACAAGACCATGGGTGAACCGCTGGGCATAGACGTGCATCGAGCCATGTTTATCCCGACGCTGGAGAACCAAGGAGACGACGAGCAGCGAGCCAAGTGGCTGCCGCTGGCCAAGCAGTTCAAGATCCTGGGGGCGTACGCGCAGACAGAGCTCGGCCATGGGTCAAACGTGCAAGGTATTGAGACTGTCGCGACGTTTGATAAGGCCACACAAGAGTTCATCGTGGACTCGCCGACGCTCACAAGTCGCAAGTGGTGGCCGGGTGGGCTGGGCAAGACAGCGACTCATGCGATCGTGCATGCGAGACTGACCTTGGATGGACAGGATGTGGGCGTGCAAGCGTTTATAGTGCAGCTTCGGTCCACGCACGACCATATGCCGCTACCTGGGATCGAAGTGGGTGACATTGGCCCCAAAGTTGGCTTCAACGCCGTTGACAATGGATACTGTGCGTTTCACAGGATCCGCATTCCTCGTAAAAACATGTTGATGCGCCATGCCAAGGTACTGCCTGATGGCACGTTTGTCAAGCCTCAGAGCGACAAGTTGGTGTACCTAACGATGGTGCACATTCGAGCTTACCTGATCAAGACTCTTGCCATGCATATGGGAGCGGCCGCGACCATTTGTACTCGCTTCAGTGCTGCGAGGATTCAAGGACGGACACCGGACCTCAAGGGTGAGTTCCAGGTGCTGGACTACCAGAACCAGCAGCACAAACTTTTCCCGCGGCTTGCAATTTCGTATGCTGCTCATTTTGCAGGAAGCTCTCTTATAGAGCTGCACGATTCGGCTTTCGATGTGATAAAAGAGGGCAAGCAACGTTTTGGCGCCAAGCTGGCTGAGCTGCATGCTGTATCGTCTGGCCTCAAGGCCTGGCTTGCCGAACACGTAAGCGATGGCATTGAGACGTGCCGCCGTCTGTGTGGTGGTCACGGCTTCACCCAAGCCAGCAACCTGCCGCACATCTTTGCCGAGGTTGTTGGCGCTATCACGTACGAAGGTACTTCTGACGTGCTAACGCAACAGCATGGACGCTACTTGCTAAAAACGCTGGCATCCCTTCCATCAAACGAGAAGTCCACTAAGTTTTTGAGTCAGGTGGCGCGCTATAGCGACAGCAAGCTGCGTTGCAATGCTGAGACTCGTCAAGATTTTGGGAATCTGGATTTGCTTCTCGAAGTCTTTCAAGTGCGAGCTGCCCGCGTTGTCCTGGAGCTCGCTGGTCACATGAACGCTGCAAACAATGACGGCAACGCGTGCATGGTGCTCATGACTCGTGCATCCACCTCCCACGCCGAGTTGATACTGCTAGAAGCGTTTGTTCAAGGGGTTCGAAGCGTGCCTTCAGGTCGTGAGCAGCAGTCGGTCGCGCATTTGTGCTCGCTCTTTGGAGCGTGGCTTATCGCTCAATCGCTAGGAGACTTCCGACAGCATGACTATCTGTCCACACACCAGGCGGACCTCGTCCGTGAGCAGATTGTTCACCTTCTCCCTGTCATCCGCAAAAACTGCGTGTTGCTGACCGATGCCTGGGACTTCAGTGATTTCGAGCTGAACTCCGCCATCGGGCGCTACGACGGTGACATCTATCGTGCTTTGGTGAAACGAGCTGCTGACGAGCCGCTGAATAAGACACAAGTTCCTAAGGACTACGAGAAGTACTTGAAGCCGCTTATACAATCCAGTTTGTAGGTGTCGCGAAACGAAAAAGCTTGCGTGAAAATGGAACTCGAGTGTGCTAAGTAGACAGTTTGTTGTTATCACTAGTTGCCATCGCTGGCCGACAAAGTGGCTTACTTGCAACTTTGCGTCGAAGCATCAGCATCGATCCCATCTGTGCGTATACTTGCAATCTCTGACAACCATTCGACAACGCCAACAACACATATGATATTGTACTCATCGTAACACGCACACCTCAACCTGTATTGTGTGCGGACGGTAGCATGTAAATCTGCTCCTTTTTTGCGGTAATCTGCTTGAACTTTGGTTGTGAGCTGACCGAACTTACTGCATGGACTCGACGAGACGATTCAGGTACTTCCCATAGCCGGCAGCAACATCAGTCTGGTTCAGTGGTTTTACAGTCGACGCGTTCTGCCATTGCGCCATCTATGGCTGAGCTCAGCTCGAAACCACTGAAGTCATAAGCGTCGGTGGGCATCCTGCAGCCCTTGCAAATGCTTGGCAACAGATGAACAACCTGCTCGCTTTCTAGCTCAGCCCACTGTGAACAGAGTTATTCGCTTGTCAGAAATCGCCGAGCAACTAAGTGACGAGCCACGCGCCCAAGAGCGAACACAAGTCTGCATTACACTGTATCTCCGTTATGACCGGGTAGATTCTCGACCCCACGTGCGGAAGATCTTAGTACTAGCAGGTCTGTATGCGCCATGGGCACGTGCGTCAAGCGGATCATACTGGTGTTGCTGCCGTTGCCAGTGGCCTTGATCGATGCCATGTGCGCTCGCATAGAACGGGTCGCGCGTGCTCGCAATGCATCCACCCAACGGCCAAAGCTGCCAAAGTGCGCGGGAACCTCAGCTTTGCAGCGCGGCTTACGACCGGCGCATGACTTCACGATTCCCACGAGCTGGGTGAATTGGTCAACCGCATCGACGAAGCAAGCACCTTGAGAAGATATCGCGCAGGTTTCTCGACAACCACGTCCGATACTCCTTCGAACGTGCTGGCGTCTGCAATCTCAGCAAATCAATGCCCGACATCATTGGAACATGTACAGGCCGTGTCCGCCGCAGAGTCGACGACATTGTTCGACCCCTTCTTTGACTTTAGCAGGGATCCACTTTTCAGTTCATCGGATACGCTATGGAGCTCAGCAAGCTTCGCACCAAAGCCGACGTCTCCACTGTTGATGCTTTCTAGCCGGGAATCATGCATCGCCATCACTGTGCTGAGCCAGCAAAGTGAGAAGCGCAGATAACTGCAATCTGCGGAAAGAACGCCTGATAGTGGTTCTGACCGGCACCTGTACTTTGCGTTTGTGACTAAGTCCATATCCTTGATCGCAAGCAGCACTGAAGCGAGTTGCGTAATGTCGACGCTGCAGCTAGACGCACTCCCAGTTTCCGAATCAAACTTGCATTCACTTGGACCATGGTGAGGCACACAAGTTCGTCGCTTTGGGACTATACTAAGGGGCCGCCTGCAAGCACCTGAGCATACCGCATCATCACGTTTGCACGTGGAACGCGAACATCGCTGAAGACGCATTTGCCAGTGTTCATCTCATTGTAACCCAGATCGGCCCAATGTCGCATACCGTTGTACCAGGTATCACTGTGTGGTCGGATTCCTGCGTGATCGGCTAACGAAGAGATTGGCACAATGAACGACGGTATACCTCCGTCTTGTTTGGCTAACAAGAGTCGAGCGGTCACCATCGCATGCGGTGCCATCTTTCCCACTCCGCCTAGCCGCCACTTGCGACTTGTAAATGGCGGTGAGGGAATGACAAACTCTCGCGTGTTTCCGTCAGGCGTAGCAACAGTCTCAACCCCTTGCACATTCGATCCATACGCGATCTCGTCTGCGCATACGTACCAAGGATCTGGTAGGCTTTCGCCACTACCAGCCACTTTGCCCGTTATTCGTTGTGTGCATCCTCACCAATCGTAGGTGTGGACATGTTCCGGTGCAAGTTCAATGGCACTTGTGTTATCTCTGCGTTCAGTAAGGCCGTCTCGTCCTTATCCGTAGATCGCCCTCTTGGAGCGACTCGACCGTGTGCAGACCGTCTTCCTCAAGCCAAAGCGGCACCGCTCAGTTGGTGGCGGTACACCCTGTCGCGATCGGAAAGCACTGGATGTAGCTCGATCATCTTCACAAGTTCTCGGCGTCAAACTCGGGCTGCCTTCCAGCCCCGTAGTATTCTCGCGGAGAACTGCAGTTGATGTTGCCATTGGCGCGTTAGCAAAAGGGGGCCCAGCTCCTTGAGCTCTACGGGCGTCATGAAAGCTCAGGTATGCAGCAAAACGTTCACCGCAAGTAGGGCACGACATATAGACTTCGAATATGAACGAGTCCGTAAATGACTCAGCCCTACTTGTGCTTGCCACCAATGTGCCGCAATGACAGTTCTGCGTAAATGACAGACTTGTACCATGATTGATTCACTCGCGTTGGTGCGCTCTTTCACTCGCGCTTAGCTGATATCATTTGTCACGTCTTGGCGTTAGTGCATTCGCACTGGACAACAGAAGATTGCCACTGCATCCCTCGAGAAAGACGATCACCTGCCCTGGACCGATGCGCAACATACCATCTTCGCATGACCAGTTCCGTCGCAGTAGTGGATCCCAAGCCGAAGCGTCGGCCTCATCTCTACCCCTCGTAGACTCAAAGCACTCTTTGTAAAACTACTCCTGTCATTTGAAACGAGCTACAGCCAACAGCATCGCACTTGCTCTGCTATGGGGAATAGCATTCCTGTTTTTCACGCAGAAGCTGCCTTGACCCCTGCAACAACAACTTCGAGATGCCCTCGTGCGAGACTCATGAGTACGGTTTCTACACTGACAGTAGCCGCCACATCTTACGCGCCACGCGGCTACGTCAGCTGCTGACAAAACATCGCAAGGCACAGGTCTACGGCCGCACAAGAACACTTGCTGATAGCTACCGAGACAATGACCATGAACATTGCTGAACCGTTTGGAGCAGTGCCGTGAACGCACGGCGCCGAAACAATGTCGTGAGTGGCCCATACGTCTAGGATCCTCCGCCGTGACGAAGGCGTCGAAGTTGCACGACAGTCCTGAGTCGGCGTCGAGTGTAGCGAGTCATCCGTGATCACGCCGTCCATTCAGTGTGCCGTGCCTCCATGACCAGCACCATAGCTCGCAAATCTCACGCGTAGTCGATGGCGTTCAGCTACTGATCGCGTTCTGCCGCAGATCCATGTGCTGCACACATAAAAGTCACTGCGTCGTCTTTGCAGGGCGTACACGGACGTCTTGCACCAAGTTCTCCACGACATGTCGCTACCTTCTCCACGACATGTCGCTACCTTCTCCACGACATGTCCTACCTTCTCCACGACATGTCGCTACGTTCTCCACGACATGTCGCTACGTTCTCCACGACATGTCGCTACGTTCTCCACGACATGTCGCTACGTTCTCCACGACATGTCGCTTCGTTCTCCACGACCTGCCGACACCAGGTGAACCCGTTGATGGAGGAGAAAGGCTGTGCAGTTCTCACGATCTCTGAGCGGGCTCCGGCAGCATCTCGCGGACGAAAGTACGTGGCCGACAAGACTCGCCCAGGGCTTCTTTTACAAGTGCGAAGACGCGTCCTAGCAATCGAGGCGCTCAGCCGAAAGAGCAAAACGTCATCGGGAGCTCGCTGAAGTCGTAGAGAAAACGGTTTGAAAAGGCTCCGACCAAATGACCGATCACGAGATACCGTCGAGACCACGCGACATGCCGCCCAGGCACAGACGATCGTCACAATTGGACACGTGCTTACAATCGCTTCCCGCAGTATGCAGGCATCCGATGTCGTGCGTAGCCAGCTGGGAATCGCGAAAATCAACCCGTTCGCCATCCTGCTTTCTGTGCCGACTGCACGTCTCGTAGTTGCAGGCATTTGCCATTTTCACCGGTACCCGCCACGCTGCTGAGATGCGGGTTCATCGTGTTGCCACACTGTCTGCGGTCTGTCTGTCGTTCCTCGGCGCTGTCGCGACTGCCAAGAAATCGAATCTCAACGGCTGGTACAAGTGTTCTGACGTCACGTTTTCCGACGAGGGGAACTCGACTGGTATGATCGCGGAGTGTGCGGTGTACAAAGCGCCGTTGTGCTACCCTGGTATCTGTGTGGCTCCAGCGTCGGTGGACCCGACTGTCGACATCTTTGTCAAGAGGCTCCCCGCAGCGTCTGAAGACCCTGCTACAGCACACAACGTGTGGCTTTTGCAAGGCGGTCCTGGGATCTCGTCGAGCTCATGTACGTTGCGTTGCACTTACTAGACTTTGCTTCTTCTCATCATCTGACGTCTAGTATATCGTGTGATCTCTTTGATGTAGTGGAATCGACCATGAGCTATCTGAACTATCAGCTCGAAGGGAAATTCAACATTTACACGATGGATCACCGTGGCACGGGCCGCAGCACACGTCTCGACTGTGTGTCAGCTCAGGCCACGACTACTGGCTCTCCTTTCGGGAGCGAAATTGAGCTGTCCGAAGTCACTGCGTGCGCGCAGGATCTCAAATACAAATACGGCGACCTGGCTTCGTTTTCCATAACGAGTTCTGCCACGGACATTGCGACGTTCATCGCCAAGTATACGAACGGCGAAGACACTATTGTGTATGGTTTGAGTTACGGCACGACACTGGCAGAACGGCTCATGCACCTGAAAACACCGACGGTGATCGGCTATGTGCTGGACGGCGTTGCCACGACCTCTGCAGCGGCGGAGGACAAGTTTCAGTACGTTTCGAAAATGGAAGTCAACTCTGGGGAGATGGGCGACGCTTTCCTTGATGTGTGCATCGACGACGAAGGCTGCAGTCGCCACTTCAGGCCCAGGAGTTTGCCTGCTTCCCTACGGCATCTCATCGAGAAATTTGACAAGGAACCCCACTCGGCGTGCGCTCAGCTGGTAAAGAAGGAAGGCCTCAACCCTCGTGACTCACCGTCCTTATCGCTCCGTAGTGTTCTGGGATGGATGCTACCTGATCCGGCGTTGCGGGCATTCATTCCGGTGGTTGTCTACAGGCTGAGTCACTGTGAGAAAGGAGACCTCACTGTGTTGACGCGGTTCTTTACGAGCTTCAAGTTGTACATTGAAAGAGAAAACCAGGACGTGGCGTACAGATCTCTGCTTCTGTACCATCTGATCGTCTTCTCTGAAATGTGGGAGACGCCTGCGCCGTCATTCGGAGTGCTGAAAAAACGACTGGCAGACTCGACAATGTACCCAGGTGAGTATGAAAAGATGCACGAGACGGGATTGGTCGAGGCGAATCAGTATTACTGCGCTTATTCCAAGGAGAAGTCACCGGCGTGCGACAAACTTCATTTGGGCAACAACGGATCAAGTGCGATCATCTACAAGCGCGACCGATACTGGAACAAGACGTCAGTCATTCCAAGCCACGCAAGCGTTTTGATACTGAGTAGCAAAATGGATGCTCAGACGCCTCACAAGTACGCGAAGGCCCTGTTCAAAGGGATGGTCGGTTCCAACAAAGAACTAGTGACTTTCAAGTATGCTACTCATGGCACCGTCATGTCCACCGAGCTTGCTGGAGGAGGCGAGTTCACTGAAACATGCGGAATGAAGCTGCTGGGGTCATACGTCAAGAATGGCGGAAACCTCGACAGACTTGACAAGTCGTGCCTGAAAGAGATGCCGGCATTGAATCTGACGATACCGATGGGACAGCGGACATACTTTTTGGGTCTAACCGAGGATGCGTACGATGGTGGTACGACGAGAGCCAGGACCTCCCTCTCTGCGTAGCGTTCCGACAGCTCTCTCCATTGATAGTTAGCTGTCAACCACGGTCTCCGAACAACTTTGTAGATCATCAGTCGTCGTACGAGACGGTCAATAAAGAAAGTGAGCGTGCTGGAGTTAGCAATCGAACATTGCGTAGTTGCGTGGTGTTATATGACTATGGGTCGACATTAATCATGCCACCGTTTTCCGTATCAACAACGTAAGACGGTCGCATAGTAGAACCAGCAGATCTCATCTTGTGCAGATGATGTCACCTGAAAGAAAGTAGTAGACACGTTGGCCAGACATTTGATGATGCCTGTCATGCATTGATACCCAGCATCATGATACATACTGTGCCACGCTGTAGTAATCCAGATACGCAGGCTAAGCCAGACGGCAAGACTTGCTTGACGATTGTCTGCTTCGCGATCGTAAACAGATGAAAGCAATCTCGTCATCACATGATAGCACCATTTGCCATTTTGACTCTCGACAAGTCTAGCGAACTCGGAAGACAGCCGTCTCAGTCAAGCTGGCAGCAATACCAGTATATAAGTACACTTGATCGAGTACAGGTCAACCTGGCGTGCACATAGACGGAAGATGTCACCGATGCAAACAACGTCATGAGCTCCGATGGAAAACACGATGATCATGTCGTGCGCGATGGCAATTACACGGGTTTGTAGCGGACAAACGCAAATCTATAACCAACCAGTGTGCATTCCGAAACACGTACGAAACACCATCGTCACCCTCAGGCCTTTTCAGACTGTAACTAGCTAGCGGTCGAAAAGCATTCGCAAAGTCTTTGCCCTGTAGCTCCGTCTATCACAGGCCAAACGCGTATGATGCGTTTGCTGAGTGAAGGCAAAGAAAAGCAATGTACGCGTCGAGCGCGAAACAAGCGATCGTAGCAGGTGGCAATCAGTTTGCACTTGCCAAGAGCAGCCTATTTTTGTTTTTTGCTCGTTTGAGCATGATACACGACCCCATCCCAGCGTGTTTGTTCTCGTTGTTGCTCTCATCTATTGACCATACCGAGCTGTCAGACGCTCGAACAACTAGATGAGCTTGTACGGTTGTTTGTCGCGCACCATACTGTTAATTATGGGTGACAGATCTAGCGGAACACTCACGTGCTTTCGTTAGCACGAACAAAGGCTGGTCCTATGACAGTACGCAGTCTACCCACACCACGACGTTGCTCTGTCCGACCGATTTATCGATGCTGGTTCATCTTCGCACATCTATTAGCTCAGCTCATCGCATTGAGTGTACTGCTACGCCCCATGGGAAACATTTTGGTATTGTCAAAGATATTGTGTCTGACAGGTCTTCGAGTCTTTGTAGGTCAAGTGCAAGAGCTGTTGCAGATCTGTCCCAACCTCGCCCGATTGGCTTATACGTGAGGACTAGACAGGTGGGACGAGGAAATTCGGTCACCATATGAGACGAGGAGATACATGCGCGATGTGGGACCGGTACGTGACAATGGGCGGACTGAAGTACGCCATGTGCAGCTTGACCTGGTCAGGTTACAGTGCTGGTGAAAAGCGCATTGTAGGGCTGATGAACGACTGCTGTCAAACCTAACGCTATTTTTCTTTCGTTCCTACACCCTCTACACAAGTGCAAACATCACAACTTACGTACAGCAAGCTATGAGCCGAACGAAGCGTGTTGGTGGTGCGGCTGACCGAGTTGCATCTGCCGCAGTCATCGACGGTCCTAACAAGACCGGTGATCTCCACTTGGATTAAAAGTCTGTAGAGCCTATGAAAGTGATGGAAAAAGTTCTAGCTATATCGGGGATCCGTCGGAACGGATGAATTGGATTGAAGTCTCCCAGTGTGAGCAAGTTGGCAGGCATAAGGAGGACACATTGAAAATAATTGTGTTTATTCCAATATTGGGAGTGGGAGAAGGGACCGACCTCTGTTCTTAGGAGCATGCACCCCAATCGATCATTAAATGTGTCACCTGCGATCTGCATTGGCGCAAGGCGACAAAATCAGGCATAACTTAAAGGATGAGATGCGGCCGAAGCCGATGATGGGTTCGGCAGGGCCAGGCAAGTGATGATGTGAATTACAGACAGGATCTAATTCCGGGCTATTACTCTGGTATGGATGAACATGATTACAACTACGACAAACGAAAACTTGTTTGCCCTCAGTATGCGATGGTATACCATGTAATCATAGCCAATTAATGATCTATCATTTTGCATTTTAGCGAAACAGACTGATAGCGGTGGGGTGATCTCATTTTGATAGCATTCCGACACATTTTGTCGAAAATTTTTGCGTTTGTTTGCTCGTCATACAAATGCCGAGTCCAGGCCACAATATGTGGCATATTTCGAGAAATTCCGCCAAAGTTAACACCCCTGGAAATGTATTCAAACTTAATTTGTCCTATTGATTTAATCACATATATTTGCAAAATTTATCAACTACAATAAAATCATAAATATCATCTGTAACGGGGCAGCCCGTTACATGGAATTGGCACTTTAAGGAAAGTGGCAATAAATATTATGAAGATGGATATTCTTTAAACAATATCACCAAAGTGGTGATATTGAAGGGT